TCATAATATTAAATCTTCCAATCCCCAAATGTGGAATGTCTCTCCATTTGTTTGTTCTTCTTTAATTCCTTTCAGTAAGACACTATAGTTTTTAGTACAAAAATGTTATAATTTTGTGAAAGTTATTCCTATGTATTTGATTCTTTTGGTGCTACTACAAATGGAACTATTTTCTTAATTTCATTTCAGATTATACATCACTAGTATATAGAAATACTGGTGTATAGAAATTGAGTTTTTAAAATATTGATCTTGTATTCTGTGACCCATTTGAAATTGTTTATTAGTTCCAGTGGGCTGTGTGTGTGTGTGTGTGTGTGTGTGTGTGTGTGTATGTATGTGGATTCTTTAGAATTTTCTACATACAGGATTATGTCATCTATGAATAAAGAGAGATTTATTTTTTCCTTTCCAATAGGGATGCCCTTTATTTCTTTTTCTTGCATGATTACACTGGCTAGAACATCTACTATAGTGTGCAATAAAAGCAATGTGAATAGACATCCTTGTCTTGGTCCTGATCTTAGAGGGAAACATTCAGGTTTTCACTGTTACATGTAATATTGACTGTAGGGTTCTTGTAGATGCTCTTTATCAGGCTGAGAAAGTTCCCTTCTATTCCTAGTTTGTTGAGAGTTTTTATCTTGAATAAGCATTAGATTTTGTCAAATGCTTTTTCTTTGTTGATATGATCATGTAATTTTGTCCTTCTTTAATATGGTATATTACATTAACTGGGAATGGATATCGACATTTCTAATTGAATTGCCATCTTCTATCTCACTTCTGTCAGTTTTTGCTTCACATATTTTGGTCTCTGTTGGGCACTTACATGTTTATGATAGGTATAATGTCTTTCTGATAAATTTATGCTTTTTAATTGTAAACCATCTTTCTTTTTTCTCTATGAACATTTTTAGTCTATTATGTAGAGCCACTTTAGGTATCTTACATGTAGATTTTATGGTTTCTGTTTGCATGGTATATCTTCTTCAATCCTTGTCCTTTCAACCTATTTATGTCTTTGAATCTGAAGTGTGTCTCTTGTAAACAGCACATTTGGATTGTTTTTAATAACGTAGTCTGACAATCTCTCCCTTGCATTGGTGTGCTTAATCCATTCATATTTAATATAATTATTCAGATAGTTGAATTTATGTCTGCCATTTTGTTGTTTGTTTTTTGTCTCGTGTCCTTTTTGTTCCTCTGTTTCTCCTTAACTGCCTTCCTTTGTGTTAGATATTTTCTAGTGTACCATTTTAATTATTTTGCTGGGTTTTTAAAAATACTTTTTTGAGTTATTTTCTTAGTGGTTGCTCTAGGGAACTCTATTTAACTTGAAATCTACTTCAAATTAATACTAACATAACAAAATAAAGCAACTTTGCTTTAATATTCTATTCTCTCTTTTGTGACAATATTGCCATGTATATTACATCTTCATATATAATCTCAGCAATACAGTTTTATAATTGTTTCATGAGATTGTTTTTTAATCAATTGCAAGAACAAAAGAGAAAATATATATTTATATTGCATTTTATATTTACCTAGATAATTACCTATACCAGTATTCTTTATGTCTTTGTATGGATTCTAGTTACTTTGGGTATCATTTTCTTTTTCATCCTGAAACACTTTTGTTTGGTATTAATATTTCTTATAATGCAAGCCTGCAGCCATTTGCCTCTGAATTTGAGTGTGAGCTGGATGACATGTTCAAGGTTCAGGCAATTTGTAGTTCTGTCCTGGATTTTACTCTCTGTTTGCATGGGGCCTCACCTTCAGCCAGAGATGGATAGCTAGGGCCGTTTCCAGTCCTTCCTGAGCATGCGTGTGGCCTTACACATGGCTTACCCCACCCCGTTGGAGCCTCTTAGCCGTGAAGCAGGGGAGGAGATGGAAACATCCACAGGCTGAAACACCATAGACTCTTGCTGTTCTTACCAAGGCTGATCAATTTTTAAAATATAAATACTACTTGATTTTTGATTGCCTTTGGTCAATTTCCAGAATTCTGAAATGGTTGCTTTTGATATTTTGTCCAGTTTTATCATTGTTTTGTGTGAGAGAGGATTTACTGAGTTCCTAAATAACTCAAAAAAGTCCTACCCTCAATGGAGAAATGCTTGATTCTGCTGTTCACAGGATGTTTTAGGAAAAAAGGAAGACTGATGGAAAAAAAATCAGTGCAGAAGGGTTGTGGGCTGCAAAAGTCATAGTACTTGGATTTTGCAAGAGCTAGGAAGCGAAAGAGGAAAAAATATTTTGGAAGCAGATTCTTCTCTCCTGCCTCTTTTGAGAAACCAACAGTGCAGGCTTTGTGTACTTGGAAAGCGGAAGGAGGGGCAGGCTTCTGCGAGAGCAAATTATGGTTAAAGGAATAGGGAGTGAACAAAACAAGAACAATGAAAAAGGAAAGGTTAAAATTTCTTCATGCTGCCTCATGATCCTCTGTAGAGTTGCTGGGAACTGTCCACTAGCACAAATGAACAATGCAGTGGATTAAGGAGTCTCAGAAATTCTGCTGGGAAAAAGATACTGTCTGTTGCCCTCTGAGTTTAACCTTAGGAAGGAAACAATATATACATAATTATGTTACAGTCATGGTATGGTAAATATTCAGAGTCACCTGGGATCTCACTTGAATTTAACAAAAGAATTCACTGGCACAAGTCCAAGTATATGGTGGGACAAGGGCTGCAGGGAGTTGAAGAAAGCTGGGGTGACACAGGTGCCAATTGTAGTTATTTCTGAATCAACACACCATCTCATTCCTGTCCATTTGGCTTTACTCTGGGGCTCTAAAGTAGACTGTGAACACCCTGAGGCTGTTCAAAGGTCATGTCTATTTTCACCACTGTCCCCAGTGCCAATCGTATGATATGTGCCCTTTTTTAAAGGAACAATGGATCTGCCTCAGTTCAGTGGACTATTATATTGATGTTTCCTCAAGGGGCAAGATGAAGTGATCCAGCCATGGAGAATCCACAGAAGAAAAAATTAGACGTGAGAGAGACTGGCAATCATAGAGTGTGCCCTTCCTATTTTCCAGGTGTGAAATTAAAGCACAAGAGGCTTAGAGGCAGTCCAAATATCGTACGGTTAATGGCAGTGGCAAGACTAAAATTTTGGATTTCCAACTCTCTGTACGGTACATGTGCTGCTCCAGCAAGATACAAAATGCCTATAAACCCCTTGTTTTCGTCTTTTTCTATCATGTAAAGAATTATTCTTAACCAGCCTCAGTGTCTCTGGTAAAACCAAAATGTTAAACAAAGAAACAAACAAAAAAACAGGCAAGACCTGGAAATGGACCAAAATATTGAGGAAAATATATTCATTCCTTCACTGAATTTAGAAGTGGGAAGTCATGTAGGATTGAGTTTTGTATTCCCAAACCTTCATCTCATGTCCTCATGGCATTCTCTTCCTCACTATTTTTTTTTGTCCAATAATATCCCAGGTAGTCACTTGCAAACACTTGCTGAGAACTTGCCATGGGCTGAGCACTGCCAGGAGTTGAGTACACACTGACAAGTACTTCCCTGCCTGTAATAAGCTCATCGTCCACTGGTATTCCACCCGCATTGCATACACTTGGCATTTTTCTGCACAAAATTGGAATTTTTATCACCTTACAGCCTGAGTGTTTTCCGAGCTTGTTGAGTCTTTGTTTTGGACCTACTTGACAATCTTTTCTTAGCCTGAGTCCAGATTAATATATAACAGTGGTTGACTAAACAAATACACTGTAGATGCATAGGAGGACTCATTGGAAATTGACCCTCAGGAGCAGACCTGATGTTGCTTACATAATCAGCCAGTCCTCAGTCACTCAGGGCCTAACAATGCAACTCCACAGCAGATGGGTCCATTCCCCTTCCTCTTCTTAGCCTTTGCCCTTGGAGAGGCTCATGCATGTACCTCTCAAGGGGATGGAAAAACGAAGTCTCATTTGGATATCTGTGGTGGCTTCTGGTCTCTATGTTGAAAGGATTTAGTTACAAACACTTTGGAAAAACAAAACCAAAAGAGACAGGGACATACACACAAAATAGGAGGAACACAACAAGGAGAGAGAGATGGTAGGCCCAGTCACATGAGCTTGGGAGTGACATGAGCTTGGGGGTGACATGAGCTTGGGGGTGACAGGGAGAAACAAAGAGGAACAAGCATCAAAGCAGAGGGGGAGGATACTGAGAGATGGGGAGACACTGGGAAGGGGAGGAGGGAACAGGGAGAAGGTCAGAGGAAGGAAGGACACATGGATAGAGCAAAGGAGACATCAGATCGGGGACGGAAAGCAGGTGTGTGTGTGCATACATAGAAACATGGAGAGAAAAGTGCATGTGGAGATATCAGAAGATACACTGAGAGAGAGAGAGGGGGGTCCATGGGGAGAAACGGGCAGAGAAAACAGATGGGAGGAGACCCATCGATGGAAATCCTTTCAGCCTTATGTTTAACCAATTCCAAGAAGAAGGGATGATAGTCTAAAAGAACTGGGGGTTAATACATTTATTATTTTTAAAAGTGTTTTTTATTTAAAGAGAAAAAATGTGGCAGACAAACAGGTATATAGAAGGGAAGGAAGCATCTGCTGCAGTTGGAAAAGTCACTGTCTTCATCACAGTTGAAGTTCCCTCTTTAGATTACAGAAAAAATCGTCACTGAACATTTAGTGAAGACCTGTGTCATGCTAGGTGCTGAAATATCACAGCAGTTTTAATAGGGTGAGTTATAAGTTGCTTGAAAACAAATAGGCTAAAAGGAGTCATTTCCCTTTGTTTATGAAATAGATTTAAAATCAAAATGAAGTATTTTCTTCCGTTGCTCCGTTGGCTGGCAAACTTTGTTTTGTAGCTGTTGGCACAGCGACTACCCCCAGGAAGCAGCTCAGGGTGCAGTGTGGGGCCGTTGGGAGCAGGACCCAGTGGGGGCTTGTCAGGGCCCTGCTGGTGGCTGTGCCTGAGCCATGTCAATCTCATGATTTTTAGTGGAAACAATCGCACAGCCGCCCCCGTGACCCTGCCTATAGAAGAGGTCCTACAGACCCTACAGGACTTGATTGCCTACTTCCAGCCCCCGGAGGAGGAGATGCGGCATGAAGACAAGCAGAACAAGCTCCGCTCGCTCAAAAACAGACAGAATCTTTTCAAGGAAGAGGTAAGTCAGAGCAAAAAGTTGAGATTCTCTTTGTGTCCGGAGCTAAAATAACTCTACAATTGCAAATTAGCTTTGTCTCTATACATGTGCATGTTTATGAAAGAGCCGGAGAACAAGAAAGAGATTCAGAAGCTGGGAAGAAAAAGGTTTATTGGACGCAGACCCTCTCTATCAGCCGATTCTGGTTGTGCTAGCAACGGTGGCACATTCAAACCAGACTATGTTTTACAGCTTCTGTGCCACGTGTGTATCCGAAATCCATTTTCAGTAAATTTCAGCTGTTAGAACATGGCATTGGCTGTGATTCCCGAATTTTGGGAAATGTCAGAATTACCTAAGAAACCTGTTTGAAAAATACTAATGCCTAGATTCTCCCATGACAGGAATGCCCGAGAAGCTGGTTTGAAAGATACAGATAAGGCTAGGTCTTGTGTCAGAACTTGAGCATCTGAATCACTGGAGGTAGAGCCTGGACTGGGGGCTAATGAGACCCAGGCTCTCGTTCTGGCTCCATTCCTGACCATATATGACCTTAGACAAGTCACAAGCCTTCTCTGAACTTGGATGGTAGTGATCTGGTGCTAACAGACCATGGTTATACTTCAGAATCCACCATGCCTCAGGACAGAGCTTGTCTCTTAGGCATTTCCAAAGTTAGTGAAATAGAATGTAGAACTATCCCCTCTTAGTCTTCTGTTCTAAGTGGACTTTAACCACGGAGGCATTCTGTGTAAGCCTTGTAAGCTACTGAAACTGCACTTACTATCTCCCTCCTACTCTTTAAGAACAGCTAGGCACAAGTGTTTTTAATAGGTGGCATAGTATTATAAATTAGCTGGATAAGGCTCAACATCACTAATCCAGGGAAATGCAATTAAAGCCACAATGAGATACCACCTTACCCCTATCAGAATGGTGATTATTAAAAAATAAACAATAGATGTTACCATGGATGCAATGAAAAAGGAAAGCTTTATACACTGTTAGTAGGACTGTAATTTAGTACAATCTCTATGGAAAATGGTATGGAGATTCCTCCAAGAACTAAAAGTAGAACTACCATTCAGTACAGTTGTCCCATTACTGGGTATCTACCCAAAGGAAAAAAAAGTCGTATCAAAAAGACACTTGTACCCAAATGTTTATTGCAGCACAATTCACAGTTGCAAAGGTATAGAATCAACCTAAGTGCCCATCAACTGATGAGCGGAAAAAGAAAATGTGGTGTTATATATACCATGGAGCACTACTTAGCCATAAAAAGAAATGAAATAATGTCGTTTGCAGCAACTTGGATGGAAATGGAGAGCATTATCCTCAGTGAGGTAGTTCAGGAAGGGAAACAAACACCACGTGTTCTCAATAATAAGTGGGAGCTAAATGATGGGTGTATATGATCATAAAGTGATGTAAAGGACATTGGAAATTCAGAAGGGGGAGGTTGGGAGGGGATGAGGGATAAAACTTACCTGGGGGGTAAAGGTACACTATTCTGGTGACCGTCATGCTAAAAGCCCTGACTTCAACATCATACAATTCATTCATGTAACAAGAACACCTGTATCCCTTAGTATTTTGAAATAAAAGTTAAAAACAGAAAATTTTTAGAAAATGAAATAATAAAAAGAAAACCTGGAAAAGTAGTTGAAAATCCTCTTTTGGTCTTACTGTCTCTAAATTCTACATTTTTGAGGGGAGGAAGCAAGCATAATTGTCCTGTACATCTGAATGGAACTTCTCGCACTTATTTGAAATTTAAGGGGAAAACAGGTACTGTATCCAGAGCTGTTTCTGGGTGAGTCAGAATCACTTCACACCAGACGGGAAGCAGGTTTTTGTGAGACTCATTCACGCTCCCTCTTCCTCAGTATGTCCTTGGATCGAGTTAAACACGTGGGGGCAAACCGTCAGAAGAGACTGCTGACTCATTCCCCAAATCGATGCTATTTAGGTCCTGAGGCATAAAAATGCATATTTTGTTTTTAGGAGGAAAAAACCAAAACCCCAACTGGCACCATGAAGGTTTATTTGCATATTAGCTTTATCAGCTTTCAAAGGTGAATGACATGGGAGGGGAAAGAGCAAAAGGAATTCTGCTTTTATTCATTTATTTATTTCAGGATATGGGGGTACACACATTTTGGTTACATGTTATGACTTTGCCACACCCAAACCATGATTTGAGGTGTGCCTTTTCCCCCTACAATGCTCACCGTGTCCATTAGTTGTGAGTTTATCCACCCCCAAGCCCCCAATTCCTGAAGAATATTACTACCATGTGAGCACCATAGTGTTGATCAGTCAGTGCCAATTTGATGGCGAGTACCTGTGGAGCCCATTCTTCCATTCTTGTGACACCTCACTTCGGGGAATGGGCTCAAGTTCTATCCAGGAAAATATAAAAGGTGCCGTCGTTTCTTATAATTGAGTAATATTCCATTGTATACATATTCCAAATTTGATTAATTCACTCATGGATTGACGGGCACTTGGGTTGTTTCCACATCCTTGCAATAGTAAAAGGAATTCTGCTTTCTTAATCAGAATGTTTACTCTTTCCTCAACTCTCCTTCTCAGGGAATGTTGGCCCTTGTCTTAAATTGCATCGATCGCTTAAATATCTACAATAGCGTAGCACACTTTGCGGGGATTGCCAGGGAAGAGAGCGGCATGGCCTGGAAAGAAATCCTGAACCTCCTCTACAAATTGCTGGGTAAGTGCACACAGCGCCGTCTCCCTGGGAAGATTCCCAAGGGATGGCCACGTGAGAACCCCGGACTGTCAGCTAGCCTCCTTCCTTTGGAGGCTTTTGTTAACCATTTGATTTTTAACCCAGCTGTTCATTCTGTTAACTAGTAGCTTATTGTGCTTCCCAAACTCAGAGTAAGAAGTCAGCAGCAAGTGGAAACAGATGGGGATCAGTTTTGCAAAACTACCTGTGAAACTCTTGATAGTGACACTCCCTGAACCTTAATTCCTTATCTTTAAATGAGGAAGTGAGATTAGAATACGTGTATGGTGTCTGCTAGTTTTAAACTTCTGCAGAGATATCACCTGCACTTTGAGGATTGTTATTCTCTTAAATTCTGTGCCCTTCTACTTGTCAGTCAGTTATGATTTCTGCTGATTTGGCCTATTGTTTATTTTATTTTGGTGGAAACAAAAGAGCAGGAAGTAAACATGTTCCAGAATCCAGCCTTTCTTCTCACAATGCTGAGCTTGGGATAATATTCTGGTGCCTGCTGCAACAGGTCCATCCCACAGGCCTGGGCTGCCAGCCGGTGGGAGGCAGACAGCAGCCTGTGCAAGAAGGTGGCTACCAGGAGATGCTCAGACACCACGACAAGGCAGCATTTTACGGCTTTGCTCCGAAGTGTGTGTTCCACTGAGAGGAAGTCTGTAGAAAGTTCACCAGGCCAGAGGGGGGCCCAGAGAAGTCAGTCTGGACCTGTTCTCCATGTGAGGGGGTCAGGCTAATGGGATTGCCACCAGGCTGTGTGACCCTGTAAAGTCTCTTCAAACTCTAGCATATTGTGACACAGCTGAAACCCGGTAGTTATTAATACAGCAATAATAGCTAACATTTATTGAGCTCTGTGTGCCAAGCAGTGGAATATCTTTTTTTTTTTTTTTTTTTCTTAAAACAGGGTTACGCTGTTGCTCAGGCTAGAGTGCCGTGGCGTCATCCTAGCTCACAGCAACCTCAAACTCCTGGGCTCAAGCGATCCTCCTGCCTCAGCCTCCCGAGTAGCTGGGACTACAGGCATGCGCCACCATGCCCGGCTGATTTTTTTTTTCTATATATTTTTAGTTGTCCAATTAATTTCTTTCTAATTTTAGTAGAGACGGGGTCTCGCTCTTGCTCAGGCTGGTTTCGAACTCCTGAGCTCAAACAATCCGCCCGCCTCAGCCTCCCAGAGAGCTAGGATTACAGGCGTGAGCCACCGCGCCCGGCCTGGAATATCTTTTTTGATCCTGCAAGGAACACTTTGAGGCATAGTTACTCTTCTATCCCCATTTTACTGATGAAGAAACTGAGGCACAGAGAAGCTCATAACCTCAGGTTACACATCCAGTTATGGATGGAGCTGTGGGTTAACTCCCAGCAGTCTGACTCCAGGACTCTTGCTTAACCCCCTTGCTGCAGCTGACCTGAAAAGCAGGTTAGGAGCTCAGATGGAATTCTGCCTTCCACCGACTGTGGGGATGGAAAGCAGAGGCCCTGGGCAAGGCCTTTCCTTGTCCTAAACTTAACATGTATCAGCCTCAGTTAAAAAATCCCAATCCCTGAAAACCAACTGTATGAAGGACAGGTTACTTGGGGGTGAATCAGTTACACGGACTTGTTCCAGATTTGCATCTACTGGAGGGAGGGTTCCTTGGTCTGGATTGGTAAAACTCTAACGACGGCCTATTCTTTGCCTCACTTTGTGATATCATCTACCAGTGGTTTTCGGGTATGAACAGGCATCGGAGTCAGCTGAAGGGCTGGTTAAAACACACATGCTGGCCCCAACGCAGAGTCTCTAATTCGGTAGATCTGGGACAAGGCCTGAAAATTTGCATATATAACAAGTTTTCAGGTGATGCTGAAGTCACTGACCTGGGGACTACACTTGCAGAACCACTGTCATAGAGTGATACATTTTAGATATTTTCTAGTTACGTGCTGTTATTGTTTATCTTTTAGTGTAACCGACCTTTCCAGCAATGTTCACTGGGACATCTCCCTTTAGTCCCGAAGAATAACAAATCTCTAGCTAGATTTAAGAACACATTGCAAGAAGTTGAGTTCTTAAGTCAGTAACCAAGCAGATATTAAATTCTTGTGTGTCACTATTTGAAGTAATGGTATTAAGTTATGTGTTCATTGCCTCCATCCCTTACTTGATAAAGGTAGGGAACCTCCTCCTCCTGCCCCATTGCTCTCGTCCTAGCAACTGGACAGGGGCCTGGTACATAGCAGACTCTTTGTAAATACTTGTTGAGTGAGTGAGTGAACTAGATTTTTACTCTTCTAAACATAGAAACAGAATTGTATCGAAAGGGTAGGCAGGATAAGATTGTCACTCAGTTCCTTTTAATTGCTAAGCAGGTGAAGTGCTCAACAGCTTTCCAAGTTCTTGCGCCCATCATTATGCCCTTGACCCTGCGTGATCAGATGTTTCCTTGTTTGCAGCTGCTCTCATTCGCGGAAACAGAAACAACTGCGCTCAATTCTCCAATAACCTTGATTGGCTAATCAGTAAATTGGACAGACTAGAATCTTCCTCAGGTAAGAATTGACAGGAAACTATTAGTAGAGAAAATGCACTTTTTTTTTCTTTCTGTAAAAAAAAAAAAAAAAAAGGAAAGTTGAATCTTTTCCACTGGATTGCAAGCAAGTCTCATAATTAAAAAAAAAAGAAAGAAAGAAAGAAAAGAAAAGAGAAAAAAAAGGAACAAATGAATGAAAGTCCTTAGGCTTCCTGGCACCCGTACAACTTTATTTAGTAACTCTAGCTCAGACTTCAACAATTCCTCCTTTTTTGTTTAATTTTTTACTTTATGCCTTCATCTTCACTCCCTGGGTCCTTTAATCACCCCCACCCAGTGATCCTGGTCTCCTTCTAATTCCCACTGTACTCTTACTCTCTGGTTTTCTGAAGCCTTTTTCCATGTTGTCCTATTTTGGTCAAAAGCAGGATTGAAGGATGACTGTGGAATAAGAGGGAAAATGATTATCCTCACTCACCCTCCCTCCCCTCAGAATCACCCTTCACATCTATAGCCCTTCGTGATGACTCACAGAGAATTTAAGCCAAGAGTATGGTCATCATTGATAAGTGACCACACCGTGAAGCTCAGCAGTTTGCTTCCTCTGAGATGAGTGAACATGGCAGGTGTAGGCCCCTCTCCGGGAAGCTGAAGGGGTTTGATGCTTTTCTCATAGTCTAGAGGTGGCAGGTGCTTTAACAGACTGACCAAGGGCGGGTCCCCCAAGGACCATCCACCTACGCACCTGTCTTCCTAAGCCTCTCTTTTCTTCAGTTCCTCCTCTCATGGACTAGATTACATTTCAGGATAGTTTATGAAAACCTTGATAAAAAACAGAATCAAAAGAAATTTTCTTAATAAAACCAGTGAAGCTATTGGCTAACTACTTCTTTTGAATTTTCATCATGGTGTTATCCTTGTGCTTAATATAGAAAACTATCCAGTGTGCCAAGAAAAGGGGGACAAAGCCAAATATACTTTATTTTGTGATCTTATAGTTTGTTTGATGTACTAGTGCACCTAAAGTAAAAATAATTTCTGGGGTAGTTTCTAGAAAAATTCTTATTTGGGAGAAACGCAGAATATTTTCGAAGTTACTTAAATGACCTTTAGAATTTATAGTAAACTGGGCATCTCCTTTTATATCTACTTTTAAATGAAGTATGGTTTGGTTTGATCAAATTAAAAATTTCATTTTACAGATGCTTCTCTATATTTTGACGTACTAGGATTGTGTCTTTTTCCAGGAAAAGGAAGATGGGGTTAGTGCTGAATCGAACTCACCTCTCAAGTACAGACAGTTGGTCCCTAGGGGCTTCTAAAGTCTATCAGAGATGAATGCATCTTTCTTCTGGCTGGCAATATTTAATAGATTCAAAGGCCTGATTATATTCTGTCCCCTCAGGATGGTCTATTCACTCCCAGGTTTCTAAATTATGGTATTCTGTAGGCTATTTTAATGTCCAAATGATTTTTGTGGTGTTCACGTAGGTATCTTGGAAGTTTTGCACTGCATCTTGATTGAAAGCCCAGAAGCCTTAAATCTGATAGCAGAGGGCCACATCAAGTCCATCATCTCCCTGCTGGATAAGCATGGGCGGAATCACAAGGTGAGTTTGTAAAGAAGAACCCAAACAGTGATTGACTTTGCCTGGCTTTTCCCTTTCCAGCATCTTGTAACTATTGTGCGTTACTGACAGTGTGTTGACTAGTGTCTTTCTTGACTTGGATAAAAACCTTGGGAAACTGGGGAAAGACCTTCCTTGCCTCCGAGCACCCTCCAAGCTGGATAGACAAACTGGATCTTGGATGGTCTCCCTGGGTTTCCACCAGCTCCCCAAGGCCCACTCATTCTCATTAGCTCTTAGCACCAGCTCCTTGTGGGGCACTCGGTAGGCTCTGTACAAGGCCATCTGTACAGGACAGGCTAGGATCTGAGTAGTGAAATAGCTAATGCCAAGCTGTACCGAGAAGATATGCAAAAATCAGATCAAAAATAGTGTCAAAAGTCCTGGCAACATGGTTTGTTATTAAACAAAATCAGATTTACCTTGAGTCAAACCAAATGAAGTAAATGAATCTCTGCATTAGTAAGCAAGAGAACTAAAGCTGTTGGTCCCTTCTTTCGATACAAAACAACTGTCTGACTTTGGGTCTCAGTTATTTCATCTATAAAATGGAGACAACACCACCTCACTAAGGTGGAATGCTATGTCCCTTTTTTGAGCTCTCCTATAGTTCTTACACCTCTATTTTTATGAAATCGTATCTCTAAGACACAATGATCTTTGGGGAAAGTCTGTTAAAATATGGTGAGATTTATCCTGATGCTTCAACATGTGCACCATACACAGGGAGAGGGGCTACTGTGCCGACTGACTAGGGAGCAGGTGAGATACTCGAAGGCTGAGGGGGTGTCTTTCAGAGCTGATGGCATGATTGGACATGTGGAACCACAGCTGTGCTTCCGCAGAGTAGAGAGAATTCTGCTTGATCACTGGCCCTCTCTGCTCACCATCATTAGAGGGGACTGCATATTAGAGACATGTCTCAGTCCAGGAGAACGAGCCTCAGCATCGACTGCACAACGTGCATCATCTTCAGGAAACAGAAAAGCCATGGGGCTCAGCATGTGTGACATTATTTGGCAAAGAATAGAAAGAAAGATGTGGGGTCTGTAATTACTTTCCCAAATGTGGTAAATCAAAAGCAGGCATGAGGCTCCAGCTCCAGTCCAGCTTCTCCATGTTCCAACATGTTCCTTCCTGTCTGCAAAGTGCAGTAAGAATAATTGGTAAGCTCCCAAGTAACACATGGGCCATGAGCTACATGCAGATGTCAGGGAAGCTCTTTGACAGGAAAGCTGCTCTCGTTTCATTACCCCAGAGACTGCTTTTTGATGATACCACACAATGCACTTAATAACCAGCTTTGTTATCGCTCCTTTCTGCCAAAAGCCACAGAGCATTTAATGGATGTCACTTGGTAGCAAGTCAATTACTATTCTGCCCATTCCACAGAAAACTGAGGCCTAGTAAGCCGAAGTACTTTACTAGAAATCAACTCCTGATCTGATGTGCTATCCAAGTATAGTAGCAGAACAGTCTTTAATTTTCTAGAGCCAAGGCAGTTAGAGAAATTATGGCAATTGTTGTGAAAGTTGAAGCAAGGTGATCTTGGTACATAAGAGTCTCCTCAAGGAAGTCCCCTTTTTACCTTTTGATAGATTTTTGGGTGGAGGCTGGTTTGCCGTGAATTCAGATCCTCCCTTAGAGATTATTCAATTCAATAGCTTTTATTTCCAAAGAGAAACCCGGGCTCAAATCATCAGCAATATATTTGTGGAAGTTTCACAAAGAATGTGCTGAGTGTAGCCAGGCCTCCGCTGCAACACTTTATCTTTGGTTGGAGAATGCCAAGGAAATGGCCTCTCCAAGATGCTCTGTTTTCTCTAATCCTAGGTTTTCAAGAGTCTCTGACCCATTCTTTTAGTTTTCTCTGAAGACAGTGACTCAAAAGGTACAAAATTTTAGAGCCACAGCAACAAGAACAACAATAATGATGATAGCTGACATTTATTTTGCTCTTAACAAACGCTAGGTACCGCTCCCAGTGTTCACACACATCTTCTGTAGCCCTCGTTATAACCCTATGAAGTAGCAGTATGAGTATTTCTACTTGACAAAGGCAGAAAGAAGGCCAGGACATGGACTCTGAGATGTCAAACCATTTTCCAGGGACCACACAGCTAATTAATGACAGCCTAGAACCAAAATATTCTTTCCAGTGTTTCTCAAGCTGCAGTCTGTGAACATGTTCTTCAGAATCCAAGTGTTCTGTGAGAATGTTTAATTTTGTGTTTTAATTTTTATGATTATGAAGGTGTTCTTTAGGGTCATGGCATTTTTCCTTTTGAAAGGGTTTTTATATCTCGTGGGTTTGAGAAACGCTTTTCTGTACCATGCTACCTCTAATCACATGCTTAGGATTGAGATTATACATAACGGTGGTGATTATTTTACCTTCACTTCCTCTCTAACATACTTAAGTGGTTAGCTCTATCCCTTGCGTGGAAATCATTGCCACTCATCTAAGCGTGATCAGATTTGAAGTAAAAAAGTTATAGAGAAAGAACGCAATCTTTGGAGTGAAAAGGACCAGAGGAGGGTGCAGGCCCCACTTCCTGTTTTCTGCATGCACTCTGCCCTTTGTCCTCCCAGTGACTTGCTCTTGTGTATCTTTCAGCACCTCCTCACTTCCCACTATTCCGGTACGCATCAAAATTCTTGTCAATTAAAAAAATAAAAATAAATTTTTATCTGCCCTACAAAACTTAGTTCCAGTGCCACACCCTCCATGAAGCTTTTTCTGATTCTAGTTGGAATTGGTCTCCTGTCCTCTACCCATATGACTCATTCTTTGTTGTAACAATCGTTCCAATCTGCCTTTCATTACAGTTATTTTTACGTGTATATTTCTCTTACCAACTGTAAGTTCCTTCATGGTAGGAACCATCTTTGTAATCCCCATAACGCCAAGCCCATATGTTATACATGACATGCATTTACACGTTTGTTGATGATTTAATAAATAAAAGGAATCAATGAGTAGAGCTAGAATCCATTCCTGTCTCACCTTGAATTGATGGAAGCTTACATGTATGTCCAGGCCTCACCTCATCCAACAGATGCCTTAGCAGTGGTAAGAAACACTATGTTAGTAGCACTGATTTTATTGTTTGGTTAAAAAGAATAATTGCTGAGGATTATGACAGTCACCCTGTAATTTTTCTATGGAATGATGTTCTATTAATAAAAATATGCCCTTTCAACTTGCCCCTAAAGCTACCTTACTTTAAACCTACTCAAGGTTGTCACAGATAAATATTTTTTATTATCTTCTTTGTTTCACAAGGACTTGGGGCCACCTTTGAGAAAACTATGTGGTAAAATAGTAATATCTTTGGTCCCCAGAAAGTATAAATCAAAACCAAAGGTGTAGCCTGGGTCGAGAAAGGATAGAATGCAAGTAAGCACACTGTGAACTCCCACATAGTTGTTATAAAAACTCCATAAAATCTGAGTTTCCAGGCAGCCAAGGCAATATAGAAGCGTTCCCAGCCACTCAGTTCTCATCCACAGGAAGAATAAAATCTGTTCCTCAGAGGCTACAAAGTACTCATTTCTCAAATACAGGACTTTATATGAAAGTCACAGAATAAGTATAGTTAGCATTTTTTTAATAAGACTTTTACAGATGAAAGCTAATGACAAAATGCAACAGCCAAACAATGTTATCATGGGTATATAAAATGTATTTCTTATCTTTACAGTAGAATTCCCACATAAACCTATGTTTGGCACAAAGTGGTAGAGGTAAAAAGCAAGACAAGATGCTCTTGAATGAAACATGATATCAGTGAAGAAAATGATTATAACCAGGAGCAAATGAGCTCCACCAAATGGCCATTGACTAGGGAGACCTGTGACAACCCCATATTCTCAGTGGATTGGCACAATGAAGATTTATTTTTGCTGATGTCACAGTCCAAGGCCAGTCAGCAGGAGGGTTCCATTCTGGGTGGTCATCGAGAAACACAAGTTCCTTTCAACTGGTGGCTTCATCATCCACTGAGGGCCTCACAGACTGTAAAGTGCTTATGAATCTTCTGGCGATCATGTTAACACAAAGGCTCTGATTCAGTAAGTCTGGGGGATCTGAGCATCTATATTTCTAGCAAGCTCCTAGGTGGTGCCAATGCTGCTGGCCCAGTGATCGCACTTGGAGTAAGGGGACCCTTGGGCTTTGGAATCCTTTGTTGGTTCTCTGCATCCAGCTGGCAAGAGAGGGAGAGAGCTCACCACTTCCCATTGGCCGGAACTCAACACATGACCCCATGTACCTGCAAGGAAGGCTGGGAAATGCAGCCTCTGTGTGTGCTCAGGGGAAGGACACTGGGCCGGCCAAGTGTTCCAGAGGCCACTGAGATGCTCCCTCGTCAGAAAGAGCAGATGACCCCTAGGCACAACGTGTGCCACCCATGGTGGATTGGCCCTGTCTACGCTCCCTTCTCTTTTAAAAAGAACCCATTTAAACTTTTTTAGAATGGGAAGTTTTCCCCTTCCCAGTTTCACCTGGAGAAGTGCCTTCTAAAACAAAGCCTAAACAATGTCAACTGAGGTTCTTTAAGAGGTATCATTTATTTATAGGCGAGGCACTGCTCTGCTAGGATGTGTGCTGCTTATGAGGCCTTTTTTCTGTTGGCTGTTGCTACTGTATGTGGATTAAGCTCTACTTTTCCTCTGGTTGTGACAGCCAGGCTCCTGTAGCCATCGCTCCACCGCAAAAAAGATAAAAATGTGTGATAGGCCGGATGAAAAGTATTTAATTTCTTGGCCATCTATGGCTCTTTTCTTAGAGTGAGAAATTATCCTCTGGATTTCAAGTTTCTACAGTTGATATCTTTCAAAGAGTGGTAATGGTAAGAGTCCCCCATAAAACTGCCTTTGGGATTCTTTTCTGCTTGTCCCATAAATGTGCTTTGTATTTACCTGGAACAAAACTGACATTCAGGAAGTCAGGTAGAAAGTTGGTTTGTGAGAATTACGGATACAAATGCCATCAACAACTTGAAGCCATCCAACCCCACTAAGCATTGAGTCTTTGGTGGCCACTTTGAAAGACTGAAATGAGGCTGCCACATCATGGCTGCTATTTTTCAACTGCTGTTTGCACAGTCCTCCCTGTTTGGTAGAAGGGAGGAGCAGGGCCTGGCCCAGCAGTTTGCACTGCCACAGTAGGAACACAAAATCTGAATGAAAGAGGATGCAGTACAATTCGAGGGTGGAAGAGAGGAGAGGCCAGCGTGCAGGAAGAGACCAGGGACTGTTCCCATTTCCCAGGCAGCTGGAAAATGAGGAGCAGAAGTGCCTGAACGATGAGTCTCTTAGATTCATTGGCCACCTGGGCTACTGCAGGTTTGCTGTCCTTCTAGATGGGAAGAGGAGAGCAGGTGGGCAAAATATTTTGAATACTGATTTCTAGGAACTTAAGAGTATCTTAAGGAGTTTTGATGATATCACAGCAAGAGACCCAAGAACAGGAAGCTGCCCTGCCATTGCCCTGCCCACAAAAGATTCCCAAGCCTGCTACATGCGAGGAGGACCTTTGCCAAATGGGAATCTAAATGTCTTTTCATTAAGAGCCACTGTAATGGGCACCTACTAATCCTCAGTGCTGAGCACTGTCAGGTCTGGGCAGGAGTGTGAAGCTTCAGTTTGAGGCCTGTGGACCACCTTCTGTCAATCTCCTCTGCATTGACAGGACTCTAAGGGTGAACAGTGCCTGGATTTTGTCCCCTAAGCCTCACTATGCCCTAGACCTGGCCCTGGCTGGGATATTAACCTAGATAATCTGTCTTCAGAGCTCAGTCTCTTGCCCACTTGTAACAGAACAGTGACCACAGGTGGCATGCATAGTTTAAAGAGAAGGGGCACAAGACTTGGACATAAGGGCTAGAAGGAAGTCCAGCCTCATTTCCTCAAGAGGCAGTAGGCTCTAAAGTGTCACTCACTCCTGCCAGGTAAGGAAGGTGAGGCTTCTGTGGCTCTGAGCTGGTTCTCCTCCCATCACCTAGCCCCCACCCTTCAGGACTCCTGCTTTGTTCATGTGTCCTGCCCACTGTGCCCTCCTGGTGGCCTTAAGGTTTGTTGGGTGTGTCGTGATGCAGGTTCTGGATGTCCTGTGCTCCCTATGCCTCTGCAATGGGGTTGCAGTGAGAGCCAACCAGAATCTGATCTGCGACAACTTGCTGCCCCGGAGAAACCTGCTCCTGCAAACACGACTGATTAACGACGTTACCAGGTAAGGCCACCACTGACATTCCAAATGCTAAGCATGGTTCTGTCCATCTTGTCTTCATACATGAAAGAGGGATGATCTAAACTCCAAAGTTGCCCACCCCTAGTTTCCATGGTGATGCAAGTACTTAAGACCGGGCAAATGTGCCCTTTTTATGACGAGAGCCTTGTACTCCAGCCCCTTTAACTGAATTTCTCAAACTATTCTCTTGAAGTAGCTGGGGATAGAGTATGTATAGCACATAAGGGCTGAAGAATTTGGCTAACCATGTTTTATTTTAAACATTAATGCAATTCTAGTACCTTCTACATAATCATATTTATTTTGATATCCCAACATTTTTTTCTAAAATATTTTAATAGAATGGATGTCCCAAGTTGGCACTGTGGTCTCTTGCATCCTTTGACACATGGCCATTTACCCCACTGCCATCTGTGAGGATCTAGATGAAGAGCATGGGCCCCCACAGGACCCCTAGAATGTTGGTCCACACGTGAATCACATGTGAACTCACCAGGCCTGAATGAGGCAGGCCTAGGTTCTTTAGCCACTTTTTACCAAGGCCTACATGCTAATCCACAAAGTAAGAAAAAAACCTTCCCTCTGTAGCATAGAGTGGTCCACGGACCTGAGCCATCATGTAGACTTAACTTTCTTCTTTCTTCTTGATGCCGGCTTGGTTTTTCCTTATCTATCCCAAATAGGACACAGCCCCAGCCCCAAAACACTACATCTCTAAGAGTATGATTCCAGACATAAAAACTCTAAGTGGTTTGTCCCAAGCTTTTACACTTTGTGGATACATTAAAACCTCTTACCCTTAACAAGGTTGCCTAGGAGTGACTTCTTAATGGTTTTGAGAGGCCATTGTTATTAATAATGCTTAAGTAACAAAGCAGCTGTTATAAAAGTGAGGTTGCTTAAACCAATTGACCAGAAGATGGGACTCGAGTAATTTCTTTCACTTACAGAGATAAAAGAAGGGTTTGTAATTATAAAACTCTGTTAATGTTTTCGGCATCATTGCCCATGGTTGGCACTCGATAAATGTAGATTGCCTTGAATAGAATATTAAAAGAGACATCCTTTATATTTTACAATGGAATTAGTGTTGTTCTGACATCTTCCACTAAGAACTTGACCAAGTGTTGAAGGCTCTAAGCTTTTTCTACTTTCAAACAATAGGAAAAACATGGCATTGTTCTTGCCCTAGGTTTAAATAAGCCAATGCCTTCTGTGGTCTGGTTCAACTTGCTTTCTCAGTACTTAAGAGTCTGTAGATGTTACTTGTCCCATGTTTAATTTCAGTATCCGGCCAAACATCTTCCTGGGAGTCGCTGAGGGCTCAGCCCAGTATAAGAAGTGGTACTTTGAGCTGATTATTGACCAAGTGGACCCCTTCCTAACAGCAGAGCCCACACATCTGCGGGTGGGCTGGGCCTCTTCCTCAGGCTATGCCCCATACCCAGGAGGTGGAGAAGGATGGGGAGGCAATGGTGTTGGTGATGACCTGTACTCCTATGGCTTTGATGGACTTCACCTTTGGTCAGGTGAGTACCTTGCCAAATTGTTGGCCCCTAACCTCTCACTGGAAATAATTGAGGCTCAAATTGTATAAGCTGAAATTGTCACTTTCAATTGAAATGATACAGACTCAAGAGTCTCAACTAAATAGATGGTTAGGTGGAAAGAATATCAGATTTAAATGAGACTCATTTGTATCGTTACTCTGATAGTTCCTAGCCCTATTGTCTAGTGAAGATCACTTTTCTCAGGTTCAGCGTCTATGTGTGTACTGTCCTTATAGTATAAGAGTGTTAGGATTATATGAGCAGACAGGGAAAGAGAGACTCAGCATTTATTCACTGGGCAGTGAGCTACATACTTTTTGTACATTTTTCTCTCATTTTATCCTTGCAATGACCCCTTACTGTAGAAAATGTTGACCTCATGTTACAAATGCGAAAACTAAGGCACAAAGATGGTTAAGCAGTTTATTCAAAGTCACACTGGGAAGGATTGAAGGATCCAGATCTGACTACAGATCCGTAATCTCGTCAACACAATCTGCTGCTTCATGAATACAGTTTACAAAATGTCTGGATCAGTGCCTGACACACAGTAGGTGTTAAACTCTTGGAAAGAATTCAAGGCTTCCTTTTTTCTAGATAAATATCGGTGCTTTTCGCAAGCATAACCATCGTGCATGCTTGTGGAGGAATGGGTTGTCGTCGTCTTGGGTAAAAAATGCAAGACTAACTTTCACCCAGAACAAGAGCCCCACCTCTTCTGTCTGTTGTCCAAAGTATGTGTTTCCTGTATCTTTGGCAAAACTGCAGTTAGATACATGTCCCTTATAGAAATCCCTGACATAAGCATTGTGCTGCATGCCTCTTACATAAGGAACTATGACACACATTCTTCCTCAGATCCAGTACAAGAGGAAAGTTTGCCTCTATAAGACGAACCTATGTATTTTCTTTTGTAACTGGGAACTACGTAACCCATCACATTTTCCTTTGTTCTTTAGCTTTCTGGATAAAACCTAATTGCCTGGTGTCAATGATAAAATCAGCCCAGGTCCTGATACCGTGCTTCTTGCAAGTGATCTTTATTTTCATTTGGTAAATATAGGGATTTTTTCATTATTATTTGTGCTATTTTACATTCAGTTTAAACATTTTGAAATTTTTTAAGAAGGTTGTAAACTTATTTATTTGTTTACTTATTTATCCTGGGTCATTCCCATGGGGGAAGAGTGAGAAAGCCTCTGTCCATGTTCTGTGTGTCCCCGAGCACAGCCTGGCTCAGACAAAAGCGGCAGCAAAATGGCAGAGTGATGGGTTAGAGTGACGTGAAAGTCATCTTGTTCACTCATCCTCCCAACTTAAGCTTTTCTAATTCTTCATGGAAGGTCCATCTTCCCTTCTTTGCTCTCAGAGTCTCATCATGGAGCCACTGAGTTTGGCTCTACAGCAGTGGCCTTTAGCTCAGGTTATCACCACATGTCATAAGGTTCTCAGAAAGCTGTGTCTGGGGGAGTGATTTGGGTAGAAAGAATCATTATGCTAACGCACACTTGCAGGTCCTGAGTTTGGAAGGATTAAATCGGTGCAGGATCACTTCTCGGCCTTTTGGCTAAGATTAAGTGTAAATCTGTGTGGGAGTGACCGGATTGACTTGTGAAAATCCTTTCCACACTCCCTGCTGATTGCTTCCCATCTACTGCCATCTCACCACCACAACCCAGAGTGTTCTCTGGAGCCCAGTCTATCCCTGAAGAGGGCTCTGCATGGAGATTGCCTAAGGAAATGTGAAGCACACCTAGACCCTTGGATGATGCAAGCTGGGCCCTTGTTTCAAAGATAAACTAATCTTTCTCAAAGGAAAAAATTTACTTAGTCTTTTCCAGACTTAACAGCACTATGTGGGGTATGTACTGTATCCCTGGATCCCTTTATGGACTTTTTAGGAAGGAATACGTCAGTGAGTCAGGAGGCAGAGAACCCACCCATGGTGCATCCATAAAGGGCTGGTGTCTGTGCATTTCCAGACCTGAAGCATCATTCCAGGAGGGTACACTGCCCCATCTTCCCCCTTATCCCTCCAGTCCTGTCTCCTCTGAAGGCAAGGGCGCTGGATGCTCCAGGCGCATACCAGTCATCACTAGCAGTGGCTCTTGTGATTGGAGAAGGGGGAAGAGGGCTCGAGACTCAGCTTTTCAAAAGCTGATTGTGGCTCTATGAACATTACCTACACTTGGTGATATAATGTCATACAGGCACATTCAAGGACTTTATCCCTCCATCTCCAGCATCCGATAAGCTGTGGAGAAACCAGTGTCTATCAGACTTACACCTTTCATTCTCACTAAAACCCAAAGCTTACTTGGGTCTTGGCGTCCTTCTGACTTTTCCAACTAGTACACAGGAACATATATCTTCTAGAAGGCACTGTAGGTATTAATAAATATGTCAGTATGTGCTCTAGCTGAAAAAATAAGGTTTCTGTTAGTGACTCCCATCAGGACAGCAGTGAATTTTGGACTGTCTGATAAAAGAGTAATGTCTGATGAAGAAATGAAGTGGAAATGGCACTCCAACTTACTGCAGGAGGGGATGGTGGGTAGTTAGGGAGAGAGGTTGAAAAGTGATCATGACAACTCTCTTTTCCTTGAGATTTAGATGCCAAGGTCCATTAACCTTAAAGTTATCTGTGTGCATAAATTAATGTTGAACTTGTCTTTGACATACTTATTAAAGTATAATAGATTTTTCTGTAGTGGGAAAGAATTACAGTGCCCCTAACACTTTGTCAATGCAAAGAGTCAAGAAAAAACAGCATGGCTTTGGACTTACGCCTGGGTTTGAATCTTAACTCTGCCACTTAGTGGTTTTTCTGACATTGGACAAGTTACTTAACCTCTCAGAGACTCATTTTCCTCAGATGAAATGAAGATAATATAAGGCTTTTATGAAATATAAATAAGATAAGGAATATGAAGTCTTTGACATGCATTAGACACACCATAAATATGATTTCCTTCCCTTATTGTCTATGAAGTCTACCGTAGTCTAAAAGACCAAATCCAGAGTTCTGAGTACTTCATTCAAGACCGTGAGAGTAGCCTCATTAGAGCTACTGCAGTAACATCTAAGGGGATAAAGAACCCATGCTAAATGGGAAAAAAAGTTTCAGAGTGACATCCTGGAAGTATGAATGAGCTTTTTCTCTATGTGGGGGGAGGGCAGCCTTAATAGGTCCTTTTAGCCATGGAAGCCTCTGAAGTCACTTTCAAGGCATCAGCTATGCAAACATCCCCTTCCTCAGCCCTGCTCAACCCTCCCTACAGAATCCTGGCTCGGCTCAGCCACTGTGATTTCGCTTTTGGAAGAACGGCTCTTTTTTTGGGTGATGGCATCACTTTCCCTCCCCTTACATAGCCTCCACGTGGCCTTCAGGACAGCAGTTGGGAGTGAAAGCAACTCGGAGCAGCCCACAGGATGGCACTGGCTAGGGGGCAGCTTCATGTGAGGGAATCATACCTCCCCATCCCTTTGAGCACTTTTCCCTGCGGAATTGGAATAAGCAGAGGAATTTAGCTTTCCAGGAGATGAGTGATACAGACATGAATGAATGGAGTAAAGTTGTATTTCCTGATTTGTTAAGACTGTGAACTCATCCAGATAGTTTAGCTCTGTGGTCACATTTGCACGAGGGGACTTCACCTGTCTCCCTGCCACGATGAGTCCCAGGGCGTTGGTTTGTCTATGAAAAGACAGCCCACTGTGACTCAGACCCTCCCAACCCCAGTGCCGTGTGGAGAAGATGCGAGGAGTGGCTGTGGCATAGCAACGTTTCTAAGTCTTTGGATCCCCTCTCCTTGCCAATGCCGGAATACCTGTGTTTGTATTATAATGCCAAACTCCGCAGTGCCTGGGCCTGTGGAAATGCCAAGCCTCACGTTTCCAGTTGCCTACGTTACTCATCAGACCAGACTAAATCCCGCAGCAATATATCTGAGGTTAATTTGAGGACATGCACTGTATGATTAAGTGGCTTTTTTTTTTAATCTTAAAATGCTGTGTTTAGAATGGCCTTTCCAAGTTTCCTGGGCCCTTCAGATAGGCCTGAGCCTCTAAATCAAGACATTTCTATTCTATTTTCAGAGGCAACAACCACCACCCTCTCTCTGTGGCTGGTCTCCAGGGTTACTTTGAGTTCCTAATATCTTAAAAAGCAATTGAGGCTGCTCTTAGACAAACTCTCTGAAACAATATTTGCTTTTTCATTCTATAGGATCACATTTCTGTTGGTTGTTCAAAAAGGGTCAAATACATTAAACATATTTGAAAGCACCATTTTAGTGCTATCAATAAAGACAGTAGATGTTAAATCACTTTTTGGACTGAGCCCTCAATGCTCTAAATTTCCATATTTTTTCCTAATATTACAAAAGATATACTATTCCTGGCAAGATTTTTACTGTTAGCTTAGTAATTAAGGTTTTCAGAATTACAAAAACAATGACGATAGCATTTCCTGTGGGTTACAATGTGTCAGGCACTCTTCTAATCACTGTGTATGAACTAAGTCACTCAAAACCCCCAACAACCCTATAAGGTAGACATTATTATTCTTCTCATTTGACAGATGAGGAAACTTGAGTTTGCAAAGCTAAGTTACTAGTCCAAGGTCACACAGCTAGTAACTGACAGTGCCAGGACTCAAGCCCAGGCAGTTTGGTTCTAGAAATTTCACTTAACCACTATACTGCACTGCCTCTTGAGTGGTACAAAGGACATCATTCATTTGTATTATCTTAGGAATAATAATGGTACCTTGCAAACGACTCTCTCTTTACAGCATCACAGTGGACATCACTGTGCCCATTTTACAGATGGAGAAACTGAGCCTCTGGTAAAATCACAGGCCTAGGTGTATATAGCAGGTAAAGAGTTCAGGTTTGAACTCAGTCCTTTGTGACTCCAAGGCCCCTTCTACTCCCCTGTGCTACCTCGTTATAGATCAGTTGGAAGCATCCATTTAAATGAGGGATACAGGACCTTTCCTACTCATTTGGAGCCTGGAAAGCCCCCACATGGGTGAAGATGGCTTTCTCCTAAATGGAAGAAGATTTACAAAACAGAGTGTGCAGAAACAATCGCACAGTTCTATCATTTTCCAATTTCAAACTCTTCACACTACTCACGTTTTAAAATGAGATATACTTCATCAGATGACACATACATCTTCACCTTTTACAATGTGCATATTATATGAATTGGGCTCTTTTGTTCAAATTGTCTTCCCATTACATTACTCTAAGCACTTCCTAAGTATATACTTCATATACAGCAATTATCAACAGTTTCCCTTTAGTTTCTAGATAATATTAGTCCCAACTCTATGTTCTTTACTGTATGTGCTTGAAAAGTAGGCTTAGCCTATGATTTCAATTTGCCTATTAATAATCTTAGCAGTATTCTAAAGGAAATTTCTTCTCAGAGCCCAGTCTCTTAGAACAGGGAATGTAAAAGGCAGAGTCATTTACCACAAGGGCATAATTGCTCTTCCTGGTGTTGGTTTTCAATGGAGAGAGCGAACCAGACAGAAGAAATTCTCCCAGCCATCATTCCTCTGGAAGGAGCTTGGCAGCTATGATGTATTAAAGGCTCAATAAAGTGCAGAACTCAGCTTGTGATGGCATCAGAGCACTGCTGTAGATGAGGAGCATCCCCCAGGAGAGCTGGTCTTTGTCTTTGGTGGCCAAGGCCCAGGCCAGCGTAGAAGCTAACTGAGAACTCTGAGAGGATGGAGAGAGAAGATGCTGGCATCAGAACTCAACACTGGCAGTTTTGCCCTAGTTTATATCATCCTCAGAAAGATAGAGAGCCTTATAATTGTATTTTTATCCAGCAAAATATCTGAATACTTTTAAAGGTAAATGTCCAATGTAGAGTCTCATTATTCCCTAGTGTCCCCAAATTCACAGAATCTGTTAGAATTTGTTCAAATGACTGCAGTGATATTCTCCAGAAGTTAAACTAATCAAAAAATTTTATGCAGGAAAGTTTTTCTTAATGTGAAAATAAATCTTAAGTGAGACAATTATAGCAAGCTGCGATGAGTTTTAATATCACAGATTCCTCTCATCACAGATGTGGACAGAAGGAAGAAAAGGTCCTGGGACCTGAGAAATCTAAGCTCCATACAGTGAGCTCAGCACGCTAAGCTCCTCAAATGGAGAAATTTAACAGCTGTCAAACCTACACACTCTTCAACTTTGGCTCAGTTATGTTTTGTTTTTAAATAATTTTGACTGTAGGTCCTACAATGAGGAATTTGTTCCTCTTCTCAGTGGTGAAGCAAGGTATTAATATTAAAGTCACGGAAACAGACAGGCCACCCCAGACTAATTTGCCAATGTGCTCTGAGTACGTTGTGTACAGTGCCCTCTTGCCGTGCAGGTGGTCTGAGCGTGACGCTCCTGCCCAGCTTTACTGCCCCTCCGCATCGCCCTCATCAGACCCTGCCTGCCAGCCTCACCCAGCTCTAGCCATTCTGCAGACGTGTCATACTCTCCTTTTGCTCTTTCCTCTCTCTCTTATCTAATCAGCCTTTCATTCTCCAGGTCTCCACTTGTCCCGTGCTCCCAGGCAGACTTGGCACCTTCTCTGTCTCTAGAAGGCAACACGTGCACACCTTCATTCCAACGTTTATCATTCTGTATTAATAATTTTTATTTGAATATCTATTTCCCACCAGACTATGGACTTCTTAAGGGCAGGAGTTTGGCCTTCTGTCTTTGGTCCTCAGCCCCAGGCATAGCATCTGGCCCAGAGGAGAACTTCAGTACTATTTGTAGAAGGGTGAGAGGGAATACGATATGACTTCATCAATCACCCAAAATAATTAAAGGGGGCTACCTAATTTTTTTTTATTAAGGAATGTCGAGTAGTTTCACTATTTTAAAATCCACCACTTAGTTTAGGATCTACTATAAGTCGAGTATCTCTTATCCAAAATTCTTGGGACCAGAAGTGTTATGGATTTCAGATTTTTTCAGATTCAGCAATATTTGTATATACGTAATGAGTTATCTTGGGGATGGGACCCAGGTCTAAACACGAAATTTATTCTATTTCATATATCCCTTATACACATAGCCTGAAGATAATTTTATACAATATTTTTAATAATTTTGTGCATGAAACAAAGTTTTGACTATGACCCATAACGTGGAATTTTTCACTTGTGACATCATGTCAACATTCAAAAAGTTTCATATTTTGGAGCATTTAGATTTTAGATCTTCAGATTAGGGATGCTCAATCTATACTAGAATAGCAGTAACCACAGAAAACTTTAAATTCTAAACTGAGATTAGAAATATTATGTAGCAAAGGTACATGTACAAAATTTGTGAATAACTCACATATCCATCAGGAGGGAGTTTTAAAAATTTTTCATAACATGAAGCCATTAAAATCAAGTTTCTAATGAATATATTTATAATGAAATGTTTTTGATACGATTAGTAGAAAAAACAAGCTGTAAAACCTACAATATCTTAATGTGGATAAAATGTGTGTGACTGGGAGCATGCGTTAGAGTTACATTTTTTCTTTTTTTATGCTTTTCTGTATAAATGATGGACATTTATAATGAACACTTATTACTTCTATAATCAAGAACCAGCTGGGTGTGGTGGCTCATGCCTGTAATCCCAGCACTTTGGGAGGCCTAGGTGGGAAGATCCCTTGAGGCCAGGAGTTGGAGAGCAGTCTGGGCAACATAGTGAGACCTCATCTCCACAAAATTATTATTTTTTTTTAAATTAGCCAGACATAGTGATTTGTGCCTGTAGTCCCAGCTACTCAGGAAGCTGAACCGGGAGGATCACTTCAGCCCAGGAGTTCAAGGTTACAGTGAGCTATGATCATGCCACTGCGGTCCAGCCTGGGAGACAGAGTGAGACCTCTAAAAAAATAAGACATCTTTTGTTTTTTGCCTGAAACCCTATTTTAATATCTATTAATAACTTTTGCCCCTTTGTTGCTCCCTTCCCACTAGAAATGTAACGGTAGGGGGAAGGGTGGGATGCTTATGGTTATTTACTTGTAGAATTTCCAGAATAGGATGATACGATGTAGAAAAGCAGAGAGGTGAATTTCTCACTACTTTAAGTCAGGAAATGATAAACCATCTTATGAAAGAGATATGAAAAAAGTTTTATTCAGCAATACAGAGTGTAACTGACAATGTGTTTCCCTATTTATCTGAAATAATAAAGTTCCTTAAAACAAATAAGCAAACTGTGCTACACAGCTTAATGGCTAGATGGCCTTGCCATTGTTCACTTTGATGGCTCCTGTTGGCAGTGCTAGAGTAGCCTTGTCTCTTTGAGGAAATAGAAGACAACAGGGGCACCTATGACTAAGCACCCTCCTATGTCAGAGGACCTATACCTAGCAAAGGCAGTCTTTGTTACTTCAGACATCAGACCAGCACCTGTTGATTGAGCAGGTTGAGTTCTTGTTAGTTCTCCTTAGCAGTTTGAGAGTTTCCTCTGAGATGCATCTCATCTCAGACATGGTGTCTGCCTGCTCACCAGTGTGGGAAGTCATTTCTCATTGCTCCTCTCACACAGGGAGAGTGAAGTTGCATTTCAAATGCAATAGCCCATCCAGACCTCCTGTGTGCCCGTCACACCTGCACTGGTGGCCTCTGAGCCTCACCTCCAGCCTGGTGAGTGCCTCCAGAGTCCCACTGCCTTCTTCTTGTTCCTTCCTCCCCAGGGCGGATACCCAGAGCTGTGGCCTCCATTAACCAGCACCTCCTGAAATCGGATGATGTGGTCAGCTGCTGCCTTGACCTTGGAGTGCCCAGCATCTCTTTCCGCATCAACGGGCAGCCCGTGCAAGGGATGTTTGAGAACTTCAACACAGACGGGCTCTTCTTTCCTGTGATGAGCTTTTCAGCAGGTGTCAAGTAAGTGACGGCTGTGATTTCATGGAGAGTGGCTATTACCCCACCCCATAGTGAGCCAAGGGGCCAGCAGTCTCCTTCAGGGCTTCAGCATCATGAGCCAAACTCCTCCAAGGCAGTGATGGTGCAAGGACGAGAGCCAGCCAGTCATTGGCTCATCTCCACTTCTTGAACCTCCTGCCAGGGGGTATGTTATGTACTCAGATAAACAGTAAGATTGATAAGATAAATTCTATATAGAAAATTACTTTAATAATTATAAAAGTATCACCTGTTCATTATAAGAAACTTGAGAGACATAGTAATAAATAATAAAAATCACCTGTTAATCCAATATTTAGCTATAATCTATTAATATTTTGGTATATTTTTCTTTGAGTCTTTTTTCTACAAATATATGTGTATTTTTTAATTGGCATCACACTGAGCACGAAGTTTTATGTCTTGATTATTTATCATTCAACAGTAAGTAATGAGCCTTTTCCTGAGTCATTAAGTATCCTCAAAATGATTGTTATGGCTACATAAAATCCCTGTATTTGGCTGTCTCATAATATAGCCATTATTTTGTTGTTATATTTTCATGCCAATTCCATTTTCTTTGCTGTAAACAAAATTACTACGAACATCCTTGAACATAACTCTTTTTCTGCATTTCTATTTTGTTCCTCCTAGAAGTAGGTCAGAACGTTTGAATGTTTTAAAGTTTAGATTTATAAATGTGTGGCCAAATTGATTTTCAGGAAGATCATATGAACAGTTCAGAATTCCTTATCAACAAATCCAAAATCTAAAAAGCTCTGAAAACTATAGATTTGTTCATAACTCATTTTGCAGTGAAATCTAATCTGAACTCATTTTGTGGCAAAACTTTCATCAACAGAAATGAGGCTATTATTAGTCTTTCATTTATTCAACTTCTTGTGACTATATGTTTAATTGAGGAAATATTAATATGTTTGATTATGGCATACTGGCCCTCACCTAGCTGAAGGCTCTACTTAACATATGCTAGATGAGCCTTCTTTGTCTTTCAAATGCTAAAGAATTATGAAGTCTGAAGCACATCTCCAAAGCTTTCAGATCAAGGATTTAGGCCTGCAGTATCATTTAAAGCAACATATGAGAATGTCCAACTGATTGGATCCTCATTAACTCTTACTGCTATTATTTTTAATCATTGCCAATTTAATAAAACTGTACCTTAGAGTTTTATTGATTTCTTTGATTACCAATGTGGTAAAGCATTTTTATGTTTATTATTCTTATATATATTTTCAACCCGATAATTTTGCTATTTTTGTGTTCTCTACCTTGACATTAATTTTATGAACAATTTTTAAAATATATTAAGGCTGTTAAACTATTATTGGTTTAAAATATTTCTCCCACTTTGTGATTTACCTTTTTACACTTAGTCTTTTTCCTGTTTCTTTTGGTTTTTTTGCTTTTCCCTTTCACAAAAGTAATGTAAGTCAAAGAAAATACCGAGAACTCATAATAATACCACCCAGAGACAATCATATTACCTTTTTATATACATATTTAAGTATTTTACATTAAATTGGGCTTACCCTGAATACCTAAAGTGTGTAAAAAACTAAATAAATTTTTAAAATAGACTAGGCTTGTCCTATGCATGCTGCTTTCTATGTACTGTTGCTAACTGTTACGTTCATTGCTATCACCTCTTTCCTTGCACCAGTGGATGCTGTTTTAATTATTTTAGCCTTATTATACATTTTAATGTCTATAAACAAGACTTCAAAATAACCCTTCTTCCCAAAATTTCTTGGCCAATCTCCATCCCTGTGTCTTAAAGAGATCACAGGCCATTGAGCAGGAGATTGGAGTCAACATAATTAGAATCATATGTCCGTAGAAGCTATTGGAAAGGGCCATGGAAGGAGGAGAATTGTGAAGAGGAGGAGCTTTTATCTGGGACCACAAATAAACCGTCTCAGGGCTCCAAGTCCAAGTGATGGGATTTTCAGAATGAAATGTAGGAGGCCTCGGCACCTCATGTAGATTGATAAACCAAGACATCTTCATATGTTTTCCAAAGGAGGATGAATTAAATGTTTCAATTAAACTATTTGGGAATAAAAAAATTATCTTTTGGAAGTGATACTCAACCTTTGGAATTTGAGACAGATATGGGTATATGTTTGTATATATACATATGCATATTTACATGGATATAATATGTTGAAATGGACAAAACATATTAAAATTAAGCATTGATATATTTGAGATTCTTGCAACAAATGGAGAGCCACTATAACAAGGCTTTACTAGGGTTGAAAATCTGCTCATCACAGATTCAAACCAGGGAACCTTCAGCCCCGGACACTAGACTCTAAAAGTTAAGAATTCTTTACCTGTGTTTCCCTGTGCTGAGGATATTTCATCCAAGTTCTCTCTTTTTCAGTGTGATCTCACATATTGATATCTTCCTTCTATCCCTAAGGAGCCTATAGAAAACAAGGAATGTTATTGAAAGGCAGAAGCACTGTAAGCACCCAGAGAAAGTTGATTGGAGCAAAGGTCTTCTGGGGGAGGGAGAAGGAGAGACCCTTTTGCACTGGGAAAACATAGTATAAGCCCCGTGGCACCTCTCCCCCCCTCCCACCCTAGGAATAGAGAGAATGAGTAGAAATCTAAGTACAATGTAACAGCATTAGAGCCATCTGCCCTTTGATATAGTACCTTCTCTGGAGAAAGGAGGTCACTCTGAGCAGTCAGTTCCCAGGATTGCATTTGCCTGGGTGGTTGGCGTGGCCTTGGTCACCCATCATTAGTGCCCTTCCCATTTTTATGTTTAGACCATGCCCCACTCACCAATGTTTACTTATTTTCAAAGAGAGTACACCTACTTCGCCACCATCTCATCTGAGAAAACTTACTTATGTGAATTCAGGTGTTTGAAGAAGGGTCCTCTCCAGGCTGCAGACTAATGGACTTGTCTGCATGTTTTGTGTCTAGAGGACAGCACATCTGCGCTCTCATGCTGCATAATGATCCTTAAGCACTTCCAATCTCCCTCAGAGCATTGAGATAAGATTTTTGTGTCTGTGATTTTTTTGGGGGGGGTGGGGGGGGGCCAGGAGGATTTTTTTGGAATCCTCTCTTGACAAAGAACTACAGCTAGCAGGTAAGAAAATAATAGGTGACTTAAAGGTATCCACATGTAGAAGACACGTCTAGCACCTTGGGTCTAGGTCAGCAGTTCATGCAGCCTTCTGAGTGCTTGTGAGATGAGAAAAATGAGATGGCTAACCATTTATAAGGCACAGCCGCTGAGAGAATTTAAGAAACTGAAAGATCCAGGTGTGTTGACTTGAAGAGTCAACAGCGTAGATCTGAGAGCCTTTCCCTTATAGCAACTGAACGGGTGGTAGGCTAAAGAGCAGTGCTGCGGGGCTTGAAGTCACTCAAGTTTCCTGTCTCTCAGAAGACCATCAGCTCTGATGTGTCCTTTCTTCAGGTCTCACAGTTATGATTCAAAGAGAGATGGAATCACAGGGCCTGCAATGCATCTGCTTCATCACGTGATGTTCTTAGGCAGGGTCAGTGTCGGTCCTGTGTTGAGAAGTAGCCAACTGGTTTATTTTCATTTTTGAACAAATGAGATTGATATACCAGTGCTACAAAAATTGGTAAAGTAGTGCTGAAACCCAGCAGTTCTTCTCTGTACTGCTTTAGTTCAGCTGTACAAAAAGCAAGAAAGAGAAACCAGGATAGTAATTCCAAGTTAATTAAAGTGTCTAATTGAAAAGCAATGTGCTTAATAATAAAACTGAAAAATTATTGTTTCATCCAATACTGAAAACACTTGCCTGGCTTTATAGCATCTCTTCCAGCAAGATGCAAGGTATTATGCCCATCTAAAGAGAAATTCCTCTTCTCCCATCATAGAAGCATTTAGAATTGTTTCTCATATATATTTTTAACTTCTGTGTGTCTTTTAAATTAGATTTCTCATTCACAGACCCATGAGGGTCCTAGTCTTGAAATTTTTTAAAATAATTATTGTTATGTTTACAAAGTATGTTGTTAATAATACCTGGTTAGGATATCCTTGCCTGCTGTCATCAAAGAGCAAAGCCACATGAAGAGCAAAAATCTTTTTCAATTAGATTTACCCACAGTGAAGTCACAGGCAGCATGAGTAATTACGGACAAAATCCACAGATCAATATGTCATGTTCTCTTTTCTGTTATGAATGTACCTCCACAGTTTTCTTCTCAATGTGGTTTGTTTACAGACAGTATTACTAGTACAGGAGTGCTATAGGTCCTCAATGTAGCAGCCCTATTCATTATAGGGCAGACTTTGGGATGAGGCATATGTACCTTGGAGCCCATCCAAAGGGATGCGTTACTTAGATGCCAGGAAGCTCTTATTAAAAGATGGTCTCACCACCACCCCCACAAATGGCATCCTGGCGTGAATCACATAGAGAACATTATACAGAAGCCACAGTATATAACGAAATTTTGGTGCTACTTTTTGTTTTATAGAAAATTGATGAATTTATCACTGTAGTAAGATACATTTTATAATTATAACCTCCCCATAGACCTACTTAATCACTTTCCATGATTCTTTCACCAACTCTTTCTAATTTATAAGAACAACCATACCCAAAAATGGCTGGTATTTGTGGTTGCTGTTTGTGTTCTGTTGGTATCCACCAGACTTGGCTAAAATTCAGGTAACCAACAGCTTAGCTATTTCCAGCTTGCTGTGGTCAATGCTGCGGAAATTATTGCCGAGATAAATATACTTCTGTGGGGAACATGATGAGTGCTGGCTGAATTGCCCTGGGCTTTCATCAAACACTAGCCCAAAAGAAATATGAATGTGCGAGTGTCCATAACTCAGATTGTTCTCCAGTCTTAGTGATACAGACTGAAGATGCAATTATGAATCATGACTTACGAGTTGAATTCAGGTCAGCCAAAGCTTGCTAATTCTTTCTCCTCTTACAGCTTGTATC